ACAAGCATATTAGAGAGTTTTCGAAAACAAAAAATCGCTAAATTGTGGTGGCTATCCAATCGACAATTCTTTGTCACATTTAGCGAGTTTTGCGGCGACGGAGAGTTTCTGAACAATTTCAAAGTCGTGACTAACTGAACCCCTTCCAACCTCGTACTGAGTGCTACAGCCCTCTCCCCATATCTTCCTCGCCCAAACCCAGCATGCGTCAAAAATCGTACAACAAACGACCTGTTGTAGCAAAAATAGGCTCGACCACAACGCGCCTTCGTCCAGCCATGGTGGCATGTCGCACACGCTCTATCCCATTTTATTTTGCCCGCAAGCGCCGACTACTGCGCATAGATATGACCAAACTCATACGGCGGATGATCGCTGTAAGTTGTATGTCGTTCGACTTTAACATTTATTCCGACCTCCGCTTTCTCCAGGAATTCCGCTTTAGGGGCCACAACCATCATGGATTTCAGAAGACCGATGTCGAGTTGTGCAGTAAACCTGAACCGCTTTGTGCCCTGCTCGTTGCCGACGGGAGGGGGGTTCGGGTGCCGGGCCCATGTGGCGGAGGAGGGCGGAACGGGTGAGGGCGATAATGGTGATGGGGATGGGAATACGGGAGAGGAAGGGATGAAGTGAGGTGATGATGGCCGGGGTGGTGGGTGCGGGTTTGTTTCGAGTTGGATTTGATTGGGAAGAGAGGGGCTAGTCGGTGAAAGTTGTTGTGGGGAAGGTTTGGACGGCAACGTTGCCATTTGACGGGGAAGGGAGGCAACGCCCGTACCACGGATAGTGTTCTGGAACAAGACGGGTAGGCGGGTGAGGCTTTTCTCTGTAGGCATGACGGGTCTCGCGGCTCAATGGGTTTGCTAGATGCAATTTTTGGCGGGGGAACGAGAGGTGGACACGAGGTGTAAGGTACGCTTCCATATGGCGTCCTTTTTAAATTCGCTATTTTAATTGATATTGCGACTTGTGACTAAGGAACGCAAGAATTTGGTCGCTATAGAGACCAGCTGTCCTGCCACGTGTGCGAAATAACGATTTTTTACTCACCACTTCGGCTTCAAAAACTCTCTATTGTCAACCACCGCATGCCTTTACCACTCCACTTTATTACATCAAATCCCTTTCCCATGACTTCCCACTTTTCCACTCCATTCCATTCGTCTATATTGAAACCTTCATTCCCATGTCTATATTGAAACCTTCATTCCCATAACTTTAATGTATTCAAACTCTTTCGCATTCTTCCCCACTTGCGGCGCGCAACGCGCGCAACGGAGCCACTTGTCATGACATTAAAGTTTCAGGGACGAGGCCCAAAGAAGGGCATTTTGGTCAGGCAACATTGGTTTACAGAGCGTCTGTACCGCCCACTGTACTTTCAGACACTCTTTACTGCACGCCGATGCCCACTTGTCATCTGCCAGGTGTAACACTACAGACACCTTGAAGTACACGTATCTACTCTACAGTTCTAGCGGAAGCCACAGCGCAAAGAGCAGAAGCACTTTTCGCGAACTGGAGTACAAATGACACGGATGCATCGGCAATTATCAAAAAATTGCTGCGTTTGAGCGTCACTATCGCACGGCCTCGTTCCACTAGAAACAATCCGTGCACCCATTGCAAAGTTTCCAGTTGACTTTGGAGCCGGCTTGAGCAGATTGCGTCTACCCAGCGACGATTCACTTCTGGCGGAAATCTCGCCGCCGTATAGCTCTGCCATGGGAATATCACTATCCGGCACGTACCCTACAGGCACTTCGACGACCCCATCTGTCGCTCCGCAAGGAAGGGGGCTTCGGTTTAGAGCCCGACTTTTCAGAAACGGCTCGACATCTTCAAACTTGTGCACTAGAGATCCCGCGTCAGTTGCACGCGCTCCGTCTGCGTGATCTTCATGTCCGACAAGCGCTGGGCGCAGCGTCGAACAGCCTGAAAAGAACACCGCGTCTCCATCTCCTGTCTTTGTGCGACTTGCAAAGCGTTTCGAGCATTGGAAAACAATTTGACGAGGTGTTGCCAAAGCCGTCGCCCCCCCAGGTTTCGCGGCCGTGAGAAGAAGAGGAGCACCTAGCACAGGCTGACTGACTGCTAGCAGAACGAGGCACGAAATGACTTTCCACACATGTCCGCGAGAGTTTGGCTGCTGAAACATTCTTTGATATGACCACTTTCTGACACTGAAAGACGAATATCGCTGCATGGAATCTGTTGTAACACCTGTTCGGGCCTCAACAGAAAGGGGGAGAGGCAATATATGTATAAGGGCGGTCCTGTTGAAAGTTTCGCTTCTCGTGGGCTAGGAGATGGCGTGGCTCTGCCGGAGAGTTTGAAACACAATCTTGAAATCAGCCATGCATGTTTACGGAGCCATCTAAATATTCCTCCGCTGCCCCGTTTGCGAAACCCATATGCCGAAAGTTCCCTACACGGCCATGATTCTGAAGACAGATTAGAAAAGCGCTGTTAACTTTCCACCTGCGCAGCCAACGAGGATCTATGGGGGGCTCCGAGGAAATACAAACGATACAAACGTCATAGGCGTGCAATGTCCACTGTTCGTTTCGGCGCAGTCCAGTCCAACAGTTCTGTTCGAGCACTCATTGAAGGGGATTGGTTGAACGCAGACACTTTCATGGATCACACACAGTGGTGTGGCAATGTACGGTATGTCTAGAGGCAGACTCCCCCCATGACATGGTCAGTCACATTTCCGTCCCTTGACATACTGTACCAAGGGTACTGTACCGATCAAGAATGAGAGCTTTATGTAATTTCAGATAACAAGGAAACGTACGGGGCCGGCAGAGCGAGTGATGTAAGGACTCTGTACCAACTAGGGCATTTTGTGCGCTCCACATGTCGATAGCCGATCATCTCGTAAAAACACACATCTTTTAAGGAATTTGGCCGAGCAATTCCACTTCTTTCGCAAAGACGTTGATGTGAGGGAACCAGAGGCATGTTTCCAAGTCGAGATTTAGAAGGCTGTTTGCAAAGCAGAACGCATGAGCGATATTCTATCCGCCGTCGACAGAGAGTCTGTACAAAAGTTTGAGTCTGTTGCCACAATATCTTCGTGTATAATATATCAAATTGTTTATCCATGATCGATAGAACTAATGACCGGCTCTCCGGCCAGCCTATTTGAAGCAATGATTACATCTCTCATCATACCCCGCAACATGGCTGGAGTGGCGTCTGCAACACCATAACATATATTTGATGTTAGCACGTGGTGTGGGCACATCGCTCTTTGCTCGGTTGGCTCCGATAGCTATCTCCAAGCTGGGTCACGATAAAAGCCACTAATCGCTCTCGGCTAATTGCCCAGCCAGGAACACAGTCATCCTTTTCACATGAATGAGAAGTTTTGAACATTAACTAGTTAACGTGGCAACTACGGACGTGTGACGAGTCTAGAAAATCAGAAAATGTGAAAAGAGGATCGCAAAACCCGCTGCTGGCTATGCATTCTCACGACTGCTCACCCATACAGGACCCTGGTATCGCGAAATTTGCGACGCCGCCTAAAAGAAAATCCAAGCCAGATGTTGTTCCACGTGTGATGGAATCCTAAGAGGGAAAGTACTGTCAAGTCTAGTCTATATTCCTCACACCGAGCCCCCTTGATCAATTTCTGTACGCTTTTGTTCCCTCAACTGCACATCGCGCCATCCCGTCGTCCATCAGAGCTACAGCACATTTGCGAAATTCTCAGAGGTTCAAAAAGTTTTACAACAATGTAAAACGACAGGCTGCATTGTTAGGTTGTGCGAAAAGGTTTGGTCATTACGACATGCAAGTGCATCTCGCGTTCAAAAATAACCCAGGCCAAATGCCGCGATTTCACGAGACAGCACCCAATGATTTGCCTACACATTTCAGATTCATCATTCATACAAGAGTGAGCAATCTTTGGTGTGCGCGTACCATGCAACGTACATGCGAAGAAATGTCGCAGCTGTTTCAAGGTTCGATTGTGAGGGGTTGCAAACCAAGCAATCTGTAATGTTCTTCGGTCTCGTTAAGATATGGGGAAGTAGGTACAGGCATCCCTTAAGAGGCTACATGAATGTAAGTGTGGTGCAAACACATCTGGTCGCAATTTCGCCACATTCATGTCAAAATCTTGACTTCTCGACAATCGTTTAAATTACATCTTTATTGGTCATTCTATCTAAAAACGATGACCTGTACACGTAAACCAACATACACTGCATTGTGAACAGTGCAATTCACGCAATGCCACATAACGTATTTGCTTGACGACCCGGGATCTCGAAATTAATATGGAAAGCACCGACAACAACAGTAATCATGTGCCCCCCTTGCATATACAGTATTGCATTGAAGAGTTGTGCGATAGAAATCAGCTCTTGGCCCACATAAAACACCCTTCGATGTCGTTGATATTAGGAGAAAACTGCAATGACCATGCTTCCCTTCCCGGTCTCCCGACTACGTAGATGCCCTTCGTGATACATGTCTGTCTGCAGAAAGAATTCTGTGGCGTTTAGAAGTTTACTCCTTCGGTCTACGTCGCTAAAGCAGCGGGGCATCAAAAATAATTTGAAAAGTCATCGCAATCCAGTACACATAGACAACGGTACCCTTCTCACAGGCTCAATCTGTGACAAGGCTCAAATTGTGACACCAAAATTATAATGCCGCGCCGCATAGTTTCGCGCATATGATTTTGCTAAACTATTTCGCAACGAATTAAATATATTCGTTTGATGAAACATATTCACATGCTCTTACAAACGGTCAGTTTTCTGCTCATGCTTTTGCAGAGGTTTCCGTCGCTCCCAATAATGATTATGTGTTGCGCAACATTCTGAGAAAGAATATATGCCTGTCAAAGAACCCCACACCTAAGAAATCTAATAGAAAATTCCTCGCAACAGGAAACGCAGCGACGGTTGGCAATTTGCAGTCCGTTCGTGCTCGTTTGGAGGGGCGGAATCCTCCAAAAGCGCCCGTACCCAACGTTTATCACATTCAGGAGTTTAATGTAGAGAATGATACTGCAAACAAAAAAAATATTGACTCTCAGAAACGTCTGAAAGCGCAGTCTGCGGTGTCGCCTCTCGAAGACATAGTTTGCGACGACTTGCCAATTTCGCAATGGCCAAGAGCCCGAAAACAGCGGATGCAGGTTGAGGAAGGCGAGTTGTTGAGGACCCGCAAGCACACGGCAGCGTCGGCTTTGTTGGTTCTCTCCCATTACAGATGAAACGTGCAAGACATGAAATTTCTCGTCGTCCCACTTTGACCCCGGCACACTTTGGAGACCAATTCTCCCGACCAAATAAAGGCAATTTTCTTCGAATACGCACTGCATTCGCATATTTATCATAACTTCTTATGCGTCCCACATTGAGCCAGTGAGAAGGGTAGTGCTTACGAGGACAAAAAACATGAACGCATTTGCAGTAATCGTAATATTCTGAAGGGACGCAGTTGGATTGCTTGGTATTTACTATCCATTCGCCTACGACAAAATTTCGAGTCATGCTTGAATGCGACCTGAATCGCATACTTCCAGGTGTAGCTCGATGTGCGATATCTTGGAGGCGCTTTTCAGCCGCAGTCGCTTCTCTCGACATAGTGATGTGCGCTGAATCATCGAGCAGAAATACCTCCCTCCGAACCGAACAAGGTTTAGGTGCAGCCACAACTAATCCAGAATCGTCCGTACTTGGAGGGGGGCCAGTGGGCGCCGAGTCTATGGGTTTGGGTGCCGGTGCGCTTTTGCCTTATTCTTGTTTGAATAGGGTTTGAACAGCCTGTGAAAACGACTCCACTTTCACTCTTGGTCAGATCTGAATTCTGTGATGACGATGCGCATTGAAACACGAGTTAGTCCAGTGATCCAGTGTGCCTTACCACGCCGTAGTTGCTTTTCGTGCTCAGAGGAATACCAGAAGCGAACGTGACAAGAAAAGCAAGGTACGAACTCAGAGCTAACCCAGCAAACATGGTGAAAGTTTTTTGAGATGTCGTCTTCGAGGGCAAAAGCATGCAGGCACCGTTCGGTTTCAATATGTAGACCTTCTTCGGTTCAGGAAGTGCAGGGAGAAGTAAAATTTTCATGGCAGAACCGTTTTCGCTTTATTCGGAATAAGGGTACAGTCGACCCTACGCATTAGTGCCGCCCTGTGTAGGGACTAATAATATGGCACTAATTCGAAGCGGCACTATCAGAAAGCAGAATCACTACCCGGCCAGAACTCTGTTATTAGAGTCTGCTGTTGTTGCCTGACCCTGTCTCTCATGCCTAGCTTCTAGAAAAGCTCGTTTTGTGGACCTCAAGTGCGACAAGGCATTGCTCACATCGCACTCCACACCCAGACTCCCCAAAGACTCAAACAACCTTGCTAGCACTACAGCACTCTGTACGGCCCGCCTCTCCGTAATTTCACACTCGCCTTCTGCCACACAATCATCCATCATAGCATTACTGGCAGACTGATTCTGTAGCTCTCCACCATAATGTATTGAATCGCAAGCATCACTAATAGAAGCTTCTGCCACAAGCTCATTAGTCTCGATCTCAATCCATTCCTCCACCTCTTTCCTGCAGAATTCTGCAGTTTCTGCAAGGCCGTCTTCTGGCACCAGGCTCAGTCGGGAGAGAAACCCTACTATACCATCCACCATAGAATTATCAATTTCTGTTTCATTTCGACCAACTTTCCGACCTGCAGCAGATGCCCAACCTCGATTTTCTGTGCAATCGTAAGGCGCGTACGCTTCGCTTTGGCGATCTTTTTAGGATTCATGTTAGGGTCTTTGAGTGAGGTGCCATCACATCACCAATTGAGAGCTGAGGCGCATGAGGAGTGGCCGATGACGACGTCGTGCATGACACGTGGCAGAATCTGTGTCTGCCGGTTTTGGCGGCACTAATTCGAGGGTGGCAATAATGAAAGCGGCACTATTGCGCGTCCCCCCCCGTCCCAGATGAATAGCTTGTCTATTCACTATAATGACAGCGTGCATTTTTCATCCTCACGCATATTTTGAAAGTGAAGGGCTGTTGCTGGCGTAAAACATGTCTCGATGCTATGTCGCGATTCTATTGAGGAGGGGGCTTAACCGGCAAGCGGGTTTACAGTGGTCAGAATCTACACGTACGCATTGGACATTTAGATTTCAACTCACACTGTGCGTTTTTGCCACTAGAGTTTACAGAGACGCGTACACACCTCTCAACAAATAACCATATTCTAGACTGATGTCTAACCGACCGATGTTATCATAAGAGGTCTCTATCCAACATATATATTTTCGAGACTTGCACTTTCTCGACAAGAAGGAAAGGATATCATCGCTACAATAAACAAATTTTGCGTTAGGATAAAAAAGAGTTGGTGAGGACTACATGTTCTTCAGGTCCGTTTTTAGAAACGAGTGGAACAGAAGCCTTTTTGAGGCACCTGGAAACAGTGTATGTACTACAGTATAGCTCCGAAACGAAAACAACGGATCAGAATAGCAACCTGGTGTTTTATATGCAAAACATTTTCAGTCTTCAGTGCATTCGAAACAGTTATCCAAGTGCTCTGTATGATGTTTTTACCGAGGACAAGTACGGAAGGAGATGGCGCCCATAAAGACTTCCTAAATTTGCAATTCAATGTACCTGTCTTTGGAAAAAAGGACTGTACTCTCAAAAAATCAAACACTGTTCTCATATTCGGACAGCTCCCAGTCGGATAGATATTAGCATGTGTTGGCTTGAGATATGTTTGTGTGATTATACATAGAGGTCTCAAACTTCACGCACACTATCGAACATCACACACACGTGTTGTTCATTTTGAGACGTTTTTGTGCGCGCCCACTCTCAGTTTCATATAGTTCACACATGCAGGTGCTTTCATCTCGAATAGCGTACAAAACTAAGAAAGTCTCCGAATGTTCTTCGCCTAGCGTCCATCTCTTGCCTGTTCTTCCAACCCCCGAGATTTTTCCTTCCCCAATAGCGGGACACCCCCCAAGAACTATAGTAAACTGGGAAAACAGAGATTATCGCTATGGTTATGAGGGACAAGTTGCAGTCGCCCATTCAATAATATTGAAAACATATTATGTTTCCACTCATCGAGTGTCTGCTGCTGACAGTCTCGATGTGTCTGCTCCCGGTAGGACGCGAAGAGCGAAATGTACAAATACAGTAGCAATTCGAGGGGTTCAGATTCGCAGAAAATAATACCGTGGCAGACATCCCTCCTTCAGGGCACGACTATAAACACAATTAGCTCATTAATAGTGAGCTTACGCAAACCTGATTCTGCAGATTTCTGCAAACAATTCTGCAAAAACCCTTACACTGCAATTGCATATACAGGGGGGTACCCTATTTAGTGCTACCCCGTGTAGCGTGATAAAATAGGCACTAAATCGGGTTTGGCACAAGAACGGTAACTTAACAAGAAGACTGAATATAGTATTTAACTAAGGAAACCAGTCAAGGTCGTCTGTTTCTGCTTCTTCTGTGGCTTGAGAGCCTCAAATATGATGCGTCTAGCCTTGCCCAAATGTGAAGACGCATCAGGTAGCGAGAGAGCTACCGCTGCCGCCTCTAATTTTGAGAACTCATTCGCTGCTTCGATCAAAGAGAGAGAACGAGCCTGAATAGCATTAGAAATCTCCTCCATCACTGTATCTGTATGCTCTGCTTCAGTTCGCCCAGATGAAACACACCTAGACCCATCCATTTCCTCCATAATTCTCTCCACCTCTTCTAGAGCTTCTGTTTCCATGGCCTCTCTGACTTTGAGTTGTTCAACGGCTCAAAGTTGGAGTGCGAGCAACGCATTTGTGCCTATCGGAACTGTAACGGACACAGAAAATCTACCAGTTTTCATATCTTAGTACCAAGCAGAGTGGTGCCCTGTAGCCCGCTGGATGGGCCCGGGGGGCACTTGTTTATCATACCTTTTGGTGTAGAGCCGTTAGAGTAGCACTAAACCGGGACATACACTATATATAGAGGCACTAAATCGGGTACCCCCCTGTACAGAATTCTTTAATCAAGTTGTTTCAATACAAGACTAAGGTTTTGTTGTTGTGTTGTGGTGACCAACTCTGAGCTGTTGCTGCACAGTCGATCTCCTTTATTCTCATGATTGTACTGTAGAGTGCCCTGGACAACGTTAGAGAAAGCGCTGATGCCTACGGTAAAACCTGCCTATTCGGATCCGCGCTCGAGCACGTTGCCACTCAGGATATCCTACTGTAGTGTAGTTCACTCAGGAAATTTCACAGGGAAAGATTTGCTACGTAGTTCCATTTGGGACCGTCTAAAACGTATCGATAGAGTAGCGCTTGCTACTTTCAGTCTTCATATTCCAAATGGGATTGATCCGCATCGACGCGAATAAACAAGATGGATGCAGCTGTATCTTATACAGTTGAGGAGTCTACTCCGACACGCCCCCTCGTGATGATGCGAAAATCACGTGAAGTTTCTCGCGGTGTATGGAAAAAGATGCTCCCACTAGAGACTTTGTAAGGGAGTCGGCAAGATTTTCTTCCGATGGTGTGTAAAGTACCTGAATGTTCTTATTCTCGACCGATTCCTTCACAAAGGCGTACCGAAATGCCATGTGCTTCACATTTCTCAAACCCTGAACTTCGGAGGTCCAGGTATTTGTCCCAAGATTGTCCTGATTGAGTGTTGTTGGACCCTCGACCATGATACTCAACTCCTGTAGCACCTGACGACACCAATTCACTGCCTTTGTGCATTCTGAAAGAGCGTAGAACTCTGCTTCAGCGGTTGATGTTGCCACACATTGTTGCAGCTTCGAGCTCCATAACACTGGATTTCCTCCAATGTTAATCACAATTCCAGACCTCGAGCGCCGTTTGTCCTGATCACGTGCCCAGTCAGCATCACTCCATGCTTCCAAATTCGTGGTTGAGTTTTTCACATAGATGAGTCCATAGTCTACAGTTCCTTTGAGGTAACGGAGGACATCCTTCATCGCTTTCCAATGCCTTGGAGCCGGTGCGGATTGAAACTTCCCTAACATGGAAACTGCAGTCGAGAGGTCTGGCCTGGTTCGTGTGCTGACATGCAAGAGTAATCCGAGCACACTGCTGTACGGAACCATCTGCATCTCTTCTACTTCCTTCGGCTTTCGCGGCACTCGTTGTTTATACAGAACGTGGGATAATGGCAGAGGTGAGGACCGTGGTTTGCTTTCCATCATGTTCGTGTCAGCAAGTAGCTTTTCAATCAACGGCTTCTGATTAATTAACCATGCGCCATTCCCATTATCATCAATTTATACACCAAGAAAATGAGTGAGTTTGCCAAGGTCCTTGATTTTGAAGTGTTTCCTGATGCCTTTCTTCACCCAACTTATCAACTCGTAGTCTCCAAATAGACCGAGGTCATCGACATACGCCAGCAGCACAACTCTTCTCGTCCCCTTTTCCAGTAGGAATAGACATTCACTACAGGACAATGCACGGAAACCGAGAGTCTTGAGAGCAGCGAAGTGTCTTGTACCAAAGCTTTGGCGCTTCACGCAAACCGTATAGAGCCTTTTTCAGTTTCACAACTTTTCCATTTGCACAATCCACTCCTTCAATGTTCGGCAACTTGAGATAGATTTCGTCCTCCTCAGGGAGATCAGCATATAGAAACGCGCCCTTTACATCTACTTGTTGGCGGCTCCAGTCCAATGCCGTTGATAGTGAAAGTAGGATCCGGACAAGATCAAAGCATGCCACTGGAGCGTACAGACTTTCGTACGCCCCCTCATCAACTGCCTGTAGATTCCCCCTGGCAACCAATCTTGCCTCCAGCCTAGCAGGTTGTCCAGTTTGGTCTCGATTCAGCCTTAGGATCACGGCAAATGGAAGTGCTTTGCGTGGGGAGTGATTCACCTCTTCATAGGTGTTGGCACTTAAAATTGTGTCAAACTCCTCCTGAATGGCATTTGTCCAAAGATGTGCTTCTGGGGAAGCAAGTGCTTCCTTTAGTGTGGGGTCATCCGCTGTACTGAGGACTGAAGGGATTGCTGCGTTGTTGCGAGGCCTGAGATTGTACCTCGGCGGCTGTTCGGCGGCCTCATTTCCCTCTATTCCAAATTTCGATGGTTCCCCTGGGATATGAGTGACTTCATCCCAGTCTCCTTCTCCCATGGCATCCACAAACCCATTCTCTGCATCGCTTTGATCATCACTTGAATCATCAGTATCATCACTTGATTTTCATCATCATCACTTGAGTTGTCCGAATCCTCGAAAACCTGAGGTCCTTCAGCATCACCTGAGCCAGATCCTTCTCTGTCAGAAAAAGTTTCCTCCATACCATATAAGAGAGATGTGCCTGGGAACTCGCGTTCGAAGAACTTAACGTGCTTCGTAACAATAACCTTCTCTGAGGTTAGGATTCTGTACATTCCGCCGCTTACGTGGCCCAGGTTGAG